ACATTTGAAACCCTAATGTTGAGATAATAAGAATTTATTATCAAAAATGTCAGCAATTCTTGTTTCACCTATTTCTTTGTTATTCAGTCACTCAGTCATATCCGCATCATTGTGACCCCATGGACACAAAGTCATGTCCAAATCTTTGTGTCCTTCATCATCTCCTGGAGTTTGCTCAGACTCATGTCTGTTGAGTTGGTGATGCCATCTAACCATCTTGTCCTCTGTTGTCCCCTTCTCCCTCTGCCTTCAATTTTTCCCAGCATCAGGGTATTTTCCAGTGAGTTGGCTCTTTACAACAGGTGGCCAAAGTATTGGAGCTTCAGCTTCAGCATCAGTCCTTCCAATGAATATTCAGGATTGATTTCCTTTAGAGTTGACTGACTAGTTTGATCTCCTTGCAGCCAAAGGGACTCTCAAGAGTCTTCTCCAACACCACAGTTCAGAAGTATCTATTCTTTGGCGCTCAGCCCTCTTTGTGGTCCAACTCTCACACCCATATGTGACTATTTGAAAAACCATAGCTCTGACTACACGGACTTTTGTTGGCAAATGAATGTCTCTGCTTTTTAATACACTGTCTAGATTTGTCATAGCTTTTCTTCCAAGGAGCAAGCGTCTTTTAATTTCATGGCTGCAGTCAGCATCTGCAGTGATTTTGGAGCCCAAAAAGTAAAGTCTGTCACTGTTTCCATTGTTTCCCCATCTATTTGCCATGAAGTGATAGGACCAGATGCTATGATCTGAGGTTTTTGAATATTGAGTTTTAAGCCAGCTTTTCACTCTTTTATTTCACCTGCATCAAGAAGCTCTTAGTTTCTATGAAGCTTGTCAGTATATGCTTATCATTCTGGGATCAAAACTGACAGCTGGTAGAGATGGTGCATATATTCAATAGAAGGAGAAAAATACCAACAATTCTACTATGCATATGAAAATGTCCCATGTGATGCTGTTTAAGTGAAAACAACCCTGTTATACCTAAATGAAGGAAATTACTACAATACTGAAATATTCTTGAAAGAATATTTAATCAAGGTATTGGTTTTTGAGGAAAGAATAATAATGGATGCTTCATGCTTACCGTGATAAAGCATCTTGCAAATAAAAAAAGGGAAATGTCTTAAAAAGTAGGTGTTGCTTTTTATTTCAGTAAAACCTGAGTCCATTAAATGTTGAAGGAACAAATGTCAGTGTTGACTTATTCAAACTGATTACAGCAGGAAAACCTGAGGTTCACAGTATCTCACAAACACATATGCCTAGCATGGGGTTTTTGACATCTAAAGGTCATTGATACAGTGGAGATATTGCTACCTGAGGAATTTCAACTAGAATGTGTTTTGTGTAACAAGGTTCCTGATTGTTATGCAACTAGAAACATATGTCACCTCTCTGAAAGTTTAAAATGGTTAGAATTAGTCTCAAAATTAATCCTGCTGAAATATGTCTTTAGGTTTCTAAAGAAATAAATATCAACAACAAAAATATGCTATAATAAGTTATAGGAGCAGTATCACTAAAATGTGTGAGTTTACTTTAATGACTTCTTTTTTGGATTATTATCCAATGATATATTAATATAAACTAAATTTTAACTTTGAAAAATGGCATCTTACATGAAGATTTAATATCTGGTCAGTTCATTGTTCTAGTGCTCTGAAGGTGGCTAATGGCCTCATGTGGAAAGCCTGTGAATCTGGTCTTTTTTACTGCAAGAAAATTGCCACCAGATGGCATTTGAACTAAAGCCTCATGGTTGGGACCATATGGCTTCCCATGTGTATGCTTGACTGGGAGATAACAGATGAATACACCTTTTTCCTTTACTTTTTGGTTCATTTTTAATATAAAAGGAATTTTATTATTAAGAATTTTAAAATTATTTTTAAAAGCTTCACTTTAATTTGCAAAGGCCTTTAGTATACACTATCTCATTAGCTCACTGGAGCAAATGTAAGAAAAGAAACCTGGATGTATAATCAACTGAGTGGTAACTCTGTCCTCAGTTCTTTCTTGGAAAATGGGTTTGACATTATCTCCTCATGGAAAAGTTGTAAGGATTCAGTTTAAAATGTGTATAAATGACACTTGTAGTTTCCTAAGGTTAAACTGGCTTTAATTTAATCTTACGTGTTTAATGGCTAAAGTATTATTATTTTGTCTTGCTTGACTGTTTTTCTTTCTTCCTACATTTTCTCACTTCTCTAATTTAGTTTATTATTTTGAACTTGGGGAAGACTTAAGAGGCTCAAGTATTCTACAGACAAGAAGGCAGGGGACGTGGGCGGGGAGTGTCCCGGGAAGGCCCTGTAGGGCCCGGCTTGGTTACAATTTAATGGGAAAAGCACGCTCTTTACTGTTTTACATACCTCATAGGAACCTTGTGAGGGTCTAATGAGATAGTGTAAAAGCCAGCATGCTTTGAAAGAGTCATTTGATTATGTATATATTAATGTAATTTCCACATTTTAAATCTAAATTCATTCAAAGTCTTTTACAAACTATCTGATTTGTATCTGTTCATCCATGTGTATAATTTTACATCTTAAATTACTATTAGTTAATTATGGGTCATGAAACTACATATTGAATATTCCAGTTTTGATTTTAAATTCTAAGGTTTTGACTAAAGTTTAATATATTTGTTAGTATCTATAGCATGTGTCCTATGATATTTGGTAAGATATAATTTGACAGAATTAGAGTTAAAATGATGGTAAGCACAGGAATTCCTCTCTTTTGAAAATGTTTCTCTGAGGCATCAGGACCCTGCAGATATATCACCATCATTCTTTGCAACTTTAAGCTTCAGTTTTGAGAGGTGTTAATTGTTAATGATGCAGATAGACTGGGTAGTTGAGTTTGAGGGACTCATTATTTTCTTGTACATAACCTGTCACCAGGGATTTCTATCATTATCCTGTTACACGCCTATCTCTGTTTCAGAAAATCAAATATATTAATATTTATGTCTTCATTTTTTGTTATCTTCCTGCCATCTGCAAACTATTCAGACTTAACCTATTTCATTCACTGCTCTCGAAGAAGTCCAACTAAATCCTCTTTTTTTTGAATAAGTAAGCAGCTTTGGCATTATCTTTAAAAAAAGATCCAGAATATTTTGAGTTTATTTGTGTGGGTTCCTTCAATTTGTCATTAACTTTTTTAATACTATTCCATGTGAGGAAAAACAGAGAAGATATAGAGGTAGACCTTTCTAAGCCTTTAAGTTGTTGATAGCTCAGTTGGTAAAGAATCTGTCTGAAATGCCAGAGACCCCAGTTCAATTCCTGGGTCGGGAAGATCCACTGGAGAAGGGATAGGCTATCCACTCAAGTATTCTTGGGCTTCCCTTGTGGCTTAGCTGGTAAAGAATCTGCCTGCAATGTGGGAGACCTGGGTTTGAACCCTGAGTTGGAAAGACCTCTGGAGAAGGGAAAGGCTATCCACTCCAGTATTCTTGGGCTTCCCTTGTGGCTTAGCTGGTAAAGAATCTGCCTGCAATGTGGGAGACCTGGGTTTGAACCCTGGGTTGGGAAGACCTCTGGAGAAGGGAAATGCTATCCACTCCAGTGTTCTGGCCTGGAGAATTCCATGGACTGTATAGTCATGGGGTCACAAAGAGTCAGACACAACTGAGCGACTTTCACTTTGCTTTCGCTTTAGACCGGTGTGACACGCTAAAACAGTGAAGGAAGAACCACACTAATGTAGACTACTTCCTCTATAAACAGTGACAGCCATCCACCTTGAGGAGGATGACTTCGTTTGACACAGTAGTAACTGTTTTACTTGAGCAAATGTAGGAGTTATATAGCTGATGATGACAGAAAAAAATATGGTGAAAGTTAAATTCTTTATTGAGGTTTGAAAATCTATTGATGCTAGAATACTTTTAGAAAATAAATTTTAGAGATATTTTAGTAGACCACTGACTACAGATTCAAAAACCTGTACTGAAACAAGATGTACCCAGAATTACAAATTTGAAATTCAAACATGATTAGGTCCAGAGTGAAAAAGAGATGATCACTACTAGCTAACAGGAAGGTCTTCCCAGAAGCATTCCTGCAGGCTTTCTCTCATGTGTTATTGAACTGAACTGAGTCACAAGATCATTGTTGAAAATTTCTTGAAAGAGAGCATGTCGCCTTGATTGGATTAGACTACTCAGATAGTGGGATGGTTACGGGAGCAGTGGCCACTCTAACAAGCAAACGAATACTTTAAAAACTAATCTATGTTTGGGAGGGGGGACCGGGATGGGGAATACATGTAAATCCATGGCTAATTCATTTCAATGTATGACAAAAACTACTGCAATGATGTAAAGTAATTAGCCTCCAACTAATAAAAATAAATGGGAAAAAAAAAAAAAACTAATCTATGATTGTACAACATCCTAACAGGAGGAAAGACTATTTATACACAGATTCAAATAATAAATCAGCACACTGCACAAGAAGATTGTTATTTGTTTAACTTAAATGATAAGCATTCTTCATGTCTATAATAAGTAATTTTATGTGAAATATCTCTTAGATATAGATCTAAATAGATAATAGATCTTAATAGATATAGGTATAGATCTTAATAGATAATAGATCTTCATAGATAATTAACACTTCCATTTCATCCATGGAAATGAACAAAAGATATCTTCTATATAAGCTAAGCTATTTATGGCATGATGCTCTTTTTCTTCCCCCACCATGCTATTAATTGTAAGTTGTCATAAAGGTGATCTTAATGAGAAAATCTTAATTGTATTAAGACTTCTTCAGTAGAAGAAAGAGTTCCAACCAAAGATTGTTGGCCTCCTCTGTAAAATTCTGTTTCTTTAAGAATAAGAGTAGATTTATTTTAATCTAGTTTAACTATCTGAATTCTTAAAAGAAATCACATGTTAATGCGGAATCATTAAAGAACCAAATCTGTCTGATATAATGTCATTATATGGTTATTTTCTGAGCAGTATCATAATGTTTCTATTACAGTAACTCAAGGAGGTGTTGCTTTGGTCTCCGACATGTGTCCAGATCCTGGGATTCCAGAGAATGGCAGAAGAGCGGGTTCAGACTTCAGGTAGGAGAGAGTATTTATTTCCATAGCACATTACTTCCTAACTCTTTATCATTTCACCCTGTAGTTTTAATTATCTTACTTTTTGATTTAAGGGTGCAACTTCTCAATTATCATGCAGCTATAATATCTGTAGAATTCTAAAACACATTGTGGTGGAAAATTCCAGATACTCCAGAGTCTGTTCCTTTCATTGTATAAACCAGTATTAAAAATCCAACTTAATGGGTCTGATCAAAATTTGTGTACAAGATTTTTTTTCTGATTTTAATCTGCTACCTTCCCATATAGGTTTTCCTGGTAGTTCAGTGGTAAAGAATCCACTTTCCAGTGCAGGAGACACAGGACCCTGGTGAGCTGTAGTCCATGGGGTCACAAAAGAATTGGAAACTACTGAGGAACTAAACAACAACACCGTCCCATGAAAAGAAAATTTTTAAGTGTTAAGTCACTTAGTTGCCTGACTCTTTGCAACCCCATAGACTGTAGCCCTCCAGTCTCCTCTGTCCATGGGATTCTCCAGGCAAGAATACTGGCGTGGGCTGCCATTTCTTTTCCAGGGGATCTTCCTGACCCAGGGATTGTACCCTGGTCTCCTGCATTGAAGGCAAATTCTTTATCATCTGAGCTAATTCTAATGCAGTTCAGTTATTGTTTTAAAAAAACAGATAATGAAAAATTTAGCTATAGTCTTATAATTATTTCATTAAGTAAACTTTTATAATAATGAATGTGAGTGGTAATCAATGCAATTTATGAAGAAAATGTTATGATTCATTTTATTGCATTATGATTAGTACAGACTGCTTTATAGTTGTTACATTATGAATAAAGTAGTGATTATAATAGTGATTTCTTCCTAGATTTTAGTCTTTAATTAGTTCAATAAAGTGAACATTCTCTAGTTTACAAGATGAGTAGTAGTATCAGGGGTAAGCTGCAAAGTCAAAGAGTAAAGGGGAGCAAGAGCAAGTTTTTCTTCCTTATAATCTCATTATTTTTTAAAAAGAAACAGAAAAAGAGATTTGAGCCTGCTAAAGTGAGCTGAAAATTGAATGAAATGCTTTTGGAAGGAAGAAGAAATGTTATTTGGTGAAACTGGAGTAGCAGTGTCTTTTTTTATGACTAGAGGAAATAATGAAATTGTCTGTAGAGTGACTGTAATGAAGTTGGTAAAATGACTATATACACACACACACACACACACACACACACACATATTTTACATGAAAAGGAAACACAGGCATAGTAGTGCTACTGAAATACTCTGGACAATAGCATTGTTCATGTTTTAAATGGAATAGACAACTGGAATGGTTACCGTTGTGGACTAAACACACACAGACAACTTGAGAGCTGTGAGTTAAGTTTAATTTGGGGCCAAATGAGGACTGCAGCCGGGAGACAGCAGCTCAGATAGCTCTGAGAGACTGCTCCGAAGAGGCAGTGGGGGAAGGTCAATGCATAAGATTTCAGTGGAGGGGGAGTTCAATGCAATCAAACGCTTACTTTGCAAAACATTCTCTGTTAGTCACAAGGAACTGATGTCATCATGAAGGGGTTTAGTGTTTTTCTAGATATGAAGAGATGCAAGGACTGGGATTGTCTGGGAAGTTTGTCATTTCTTGGGTTCTGTCTCACCGCAGCAAAACTTGGAAGCAATGAACGGGCTAGTGTTATAGCTCAGTTTTATTAGGAAAAACAAAGGCTGGTACATCCTCTGATGAGTGAGGGTGGGCAGACCCAAAAGACCCGAGAAGAGAGGCCCCAGGCGGTTTTGGCTCCTCCTTTTGTATGTTTTTTCCTCCTCCCCCGGGCCTGCCCTGTGTAAACTGGGCTAGCCTGGAGGGCTGCTTGTTCTACCTGAGGTCCTCACTCCAGCCCTTGGACATCCTTTTGTCCATTTTCTTGGGCTTTTCCCTTCCTTGTCTTTTAGCCGCTTTGAACTCCTTTTCCTATTCTAACTACCTAACAGGATCATGAAATCAGTTCCTGAAAATATCTAGCTATCTAAAGACCAGCTCCACGGGATTCGCTGGAGCACCGCATGCCTCACGCCACCCTGAACCTCTCAGGGGGCGGGGGTGCTGAGGGTCAGCGGCGGCAGCACAAGGCTCAGTCTCCACCGAGGCAGGTGGCAAGTGCCCGCTGCTGTCACTCAGGCCAAGGCGATGCTCTTGGCATGTGCCAGTTTGTAGCTGACGCGGTTTAAATGTCGCAAATATTGAATATACCTTAAGGTGGTAGTATTTTAGTTCAGGTTCCTTTGGTGCAGAGCCTCACATAGTGACTCTGAATTGAATTTTTTGGAAAAGTGCCCTCTGATTATGGGGAACAGAGAAAACAGGATAAAGAGAATAGAAGGCTGAGCAGGAAGTTGATTTTAACTAGAGATTAGCTTCCATCCCAATCCAGGGGGAATTCCAGGGGACAAATGCACAAATTATCCACTTTTTTTGCCCATTGCCCTTGCCTTTCATCATTAGCTTCCTCTATTAGTGTCAAGGAAGTTCCTGGACCAAATATAGGTTATGAGCAGTTATTAGCACCCCAAGGGGTATGCTGTGTCCTGTATGTTGTGTCTTTTTGGGTGTGGCGGTCAGCCAAGACATAAAGCTACTGATTTCAAATGTAAAACAGCCATCAGTGGAAGGCATTCAGGAACATGATTAATTTTTAAATGATGCAAATGATTCAAATTTGCAGTCTTGCTAGAACTCATAGAGCATTTTTGTTCTAAGGATTCCTTTCTTATTTTAGAAGTAACCTTCTTCTTTCTCCCTCACCCAGGGGAAAAAAAAAAAAAGTGTTCTCCAGGCCTTGCTTCCAAAAAGCCTATACATCTCTCCGCTTAGTTAGAGCAGTAAATCTGCATTATTGTTTTACACACCATCTTCCCCCACCCAACTGAAGGATAGTTAGTGTCTTTTTGTCTCTGCCTCCTTGGTGACAGAAATAGTTAGTGGCTGGTGCAAAGGAACTCCAAGGTGTTTTCCAAAGCACTTGTTTATGAGAGGAATTGCTCATTCAATTCTGTCATCCTTGGAACCCAGAAGCTCCCTGGGTCTATTTGGTAGAGCTCTAGTTTAAAACAAAGCAAGTTATCTGACAATGTCAAACTGTTCAAATTGTATCATATAGTAAAGAGAGCCAGAGAAACTGTTGAATTTGCAAAACTTGACAAGGAATTCAGAATCATCCAGGGTCAGTATCTATTTGGCACAAGGGCAGGAAGAGATTTACTTAGCATGTGAGGTGACTGTGCTGGCCTTTGCTCTGTCTCATCCTTCAGTTCAGTTCAGTTCAGTTCAGTCGCTCAGTCGTGTCCAACTCTTTGCGACCCCATGAATCTCAGCAGGACAGGTCTCCCTATACATCACCAACTCCCGGAGTTTACCCAATCTCACGTCCATCGAGTTGGTGATGCCATCCAGTCATCTCATCTTCTGCCGTCTCCTCCTCCTCCCCGCAATCCCTCCCATCATCAGTGTCTTTTCCAAAGAGTCAACTCTTCGCGTGAGGTGGCCAAAGTATTGGAGTTTCAGCTTCAGCATCAGTCCTTCCAATGAACACCCAGGACTGATCTCCTTTAGGATGGACTGGTTGACTTGATTCCAGCTTGTGCTTCTTCCAGCCCAGCATTTCTCATGATGTACTCTGCATATAAGTTAAATAAGCAGGGTGACAATATACAGCCTTGAGGTTCCCCTTTTCCTATTTGGAACCTGTCTGTTGGTCCATGTCCAGTTCTAACTGTTGTTTCCTGACCTGTATGTAGGTTTCTCATCCTTAGAACGGCCTTGTTTCTGCAGAAGCTTCACTGAAGATGAGCATTAGCCACTGGAGTTTGTTTATGTGTCTGGACTGGAAGCCAGGCTGTGTATGCCTGGCAGTTCAAAGCAGGGGTGTGATGGCCCCATCTAAAACTGTCAGTCTTTCATGTTCTTAGTTTTCTGGGAATTTCTACTGTTTAATTAATTAATTAGTTTACCTGTCTCTGAGTTTATGGCAATCAAATAGCATAACAGCTGAGAAAATCATTTGAAAGATTACATTTTCTATAAAAATACATGTGTGTGAATGCTAAGTTGCTTCAGTCTTGTCCAGTTGTGTGAGACCTTATGAAGTGCAGCCCATCAGGCTCTTCTGTATGTAGGATTCTCCAGGCAAGAATACTGGAGTGGGTTGCCATGCCCTCTTCCAGGGAAATCTTCCCAACCCAGGGATCAAGCCCGTGTCTCTTAAACATCTGCATAGGCAGGCAGGTTTTTTTTGTTTGTTTGTTTTTTACCACTAGAGCTGCCTGGGAAGCCCCAGTAAGCCCCGTACTATCAATTAAAAAATATAGTCACAACCTGAACTTAAAGAGTTATTTTATTTGGTGGGAATGTTTGGGACTCCAAGCCTGGGAGAGAGAATTTCAATAGCTCTGAGAAAAATGCTCCAAGGAGGCTGGAAGGGGAGTTAGGCCACATACAAGTTTGCAACAACAGGAGCAGGAATTTAAGGAATTTAGCACTCTCTGTATGGGAAGATACAAGCCCCCCACCCCCATCCCAGCTGACTGAATTCCTTCCTTTTATATGCACCTCAGCTGTCAGGAGTCAATCTTGTTCCCTTGTTCACTTGCTTCTTGCATTCCCCCAGCCCCTCAGCAGTCACCCTTGGGGGATGGCAGCACCCTCTGGATTGCAGTTTTGAGAACCCTCAATCACTTTTGGAGGCCAGAAATCGGTGATGGCTAACATGTCTTGTTTGTTAATATGGCAGGAGATATTTTCATTTCCCAGTCCCTCCCCATGGTTATAAATTCCACTATATTTGCAAGACATTTCATGACTTTTTTTTTTTTTTTGATCCTTTTTTTGATGAACTGGGAGGTTCATCCCAGATCAAGTGAACATCCTCACTGAAATGTCACTTGAGGTGTTCATGTCTGGATTAGGCCCATTGAGAAATAATAAAAGATTCTCAGATTCTTCTATCTTCTAACCTAATAGGAT